ACCGGCTCCGGGGCCGCCTCGATTTGACTAGTGTCCCCCGCAGACACATCTGGAATAAATCATTTCAATTAATATTTAAAAACTACAGTTATAGACAATACCTTAATTATTAAAAAAAAAGATCTAGAACCTCATATCATACTAATATTATAAATGCGAAAGTTTAGATGGATAGATGGATGTTAGAGTTTGTAGCCTAATCTGCTGAATCTCGGATCTCGATTAAATTTGGCATATATGTAGAGGATAGTCTAGAAGAACACATAGGCTACATGATTTTGTTTTTTTTTATTCCACGCGGACAGAGTCGCGGGCGAAAGCTAGTAAACAATAAAATAAAGTTTTTATAATTCGATGAGGATGAAGCCGCATGAGAACAGCTCGTATATAATACACTCACCGTTACTGGTCTTGTTGGGGGAATTTTGTGGAGAACTTTTCTGTGAATCACTGGTACTGCCTTCCGCCTCGCCTGTCTCACCCGCAGACGACGTTGGCTGAAACAACATACATACAAAACATCAATATATATATACATATTATAAAGAGGTAAGATTTGTATTTATGTATGTATTGAAATAACTCGGAACTCTTTCACTATTGAAAAGCTATGTTATCAGTATAGGCTATTATTATTTTTTAATTTCACACTAAAGAATTTGCGAGCAACAGCTAGTTACTAATATTATAAATGCTAAAGTTTGGATGGATGTTTGTCACTGCTTATCTCCAAAACAGCTTAATAAATTATACTGAAATTTGACACAGATATAAAACAATCTACAATTGCATATACACTACATAGCATTTTTTTTAAATTCCGCGTGGACGTAGATTAAAGCTGCTAGTAACATTATTAAAAAAAAATACAAAGAAAAAAACGAAAAAGATTAACATTGTATGAAATATACAAGATTAATCTAGCTTATGTTCGCGACTTTGAGTGGAATTAAAAAAAATAGACCAGGTAACCCACTTCACTGATAATGTTTAAATTAGTGAGTTCATTCGTTATATACAAAATTACAAATCTTACAACATTTATGTAGGGAAGAAAATAATTAAACAGAGAAGTTTGCATGGTTACATATGAGCACATACTCACTCTATTTCTATTGGATAATCTCGGCTTGAGACCTTTCGGTTCTTTGGCGGGGTCGAAGTGACAGTCGAAGATTTCTATGAGCTCCTTTATGTCCTCGTCTTTAGCGGACACCGACAACGAAGCTAATTGTTTCTCTAAACCTACAAACAACAAAATATTTTAAACAATTGTTAATAACATGTTCCGTGCGTTACTGGAAGTATTTTTCTGTATTTGACCTCCCCCCTCAAGAGAGTCTGTGACCCCAGGTTAAAAAGGTTCAGTATCTCTGTCTGCATGTATATTGAGCACCCTTGCTATGTATAATCGAGCACCGTTGTCGTGTATAATCGAGCACCGTTGGCATGTATAATCTAGCACCGTTGGCGTGTATTATCGAGCACCGTTGGCGTGTATTATCGAGCACCCTTGGCGTGTATAATCGAGCACCCTCGTCGTGTATGATCGAGCACCCTTGGCATGTTTATTCGAGCACAATTGGCGTGTATAATCGAGCACCCTTGGCATGTTTATTCGAGCACAATTGGCGTGTATAACCGAGCACCCTTGGCGTGTATAATCGAGCAACCCTATGATGTATAACTGTGTGGTGATGTACCAGTGAGCTGGTGCTCCTGCCAGGCGTCGCGCAGCTGGTCGTAGAGGAAGCCCGCCTCGGCCAGTATGCGGCGCAGCTGCGTCACTCGCTTGCGCTCCGGCCGAGCGGCGCGCAACAGCGGCGCGAACACCGGCCGGAACGTGTTCTGTCTGTTACATATATACTGTTATTATCTATTACTATGTTATTTTCTTACTAGAAACACTGGAATTTATTATCACTGTCTTTCGTCTACGATTGTTCTTGTTCTTCCAGACTACCCTGTACGTCTAAAGCTAGCTCGTACCACCTTTCGACTGCATCGTCACCTCCTTTAGGTGGGATCGTGGTCAAGCGCTAGCTTAACAAATAATAAAAAAAAAACGTCTATGTCAAATTTAAAAGAGATTTGTTGCAGTTTAGGCTATAAACTCTAACAAACATCAATCTAAACATTCGAATTTACAAGATTAGTAAGCTTAATTTCGTCAACCAGCTAGAGCAATTTATTAGAGACTAGCTGTTGCTCGTGATTTTATTCGCGTGAAATTAAAAATTATAAAAGAGGCAGCCTATCTTACTCACAGATAAACTACCTTTCTAATGGTGAAAGACTTATTAAAATCGGCCCAGTGATTAATACTATGAATGTGATTGTTTAAATGAATGTTAGAAGAATTTTCGTAGTTTTAAATTTTAGAGTGAAAGATAATAAATAACAGTTATACAACTAACCTTTCCAGTAGATTCTTGAGATTGACTAAGGCGTCAAGTTCAGTGTGCACGGGGCGCGCCCAGGCCCGCGCCGTCTCCACCATGTCTTTGCTGGCCGACGCGCCCTCGCCGCCCGCGCCCACCTCCTGCTGCTCGCCTGCACACAAATTATAAACATAAGCTTTAGCTTGCGTCTGTCCGAGTGGAATTAAAAATAAACAAAAATGTGTAAGCCTATGTATTCTTCAGTACTACCCTCTAAATCTATACCAAATTTCATCAAAATCTGTTCAACCGTTTAGGCTACAAACTCTAACAAACATCCATCTAGACATTCGCATTTATAATATTTAGTATGAAGTATGACATGAAACTAGCAGCTTCAACCACGTAATATTATAAACTTTCAATTGCAAATGTCAACATTCAAATGCTTTAGTGATTATAAATTCGTTTGCCATCGCATAAGAATTACCATGGGACATTGCTTCTACTATTGGCTTGTTGGTTTGTGTCTTTCTTGCAAGAAGTTTTTTTTATTCATTCTCTAAATTAAATAGTGTGAAAGTTTGTATCTTATAAGCGTATCGTAGCTGTAGGATTTTTTTAATAAAAAAAAAGTATTACAAAATTTGATATGAACTTTTGTTCTATTTAGTGTACTACATTTCACTATTTTCCTTGAAAACTCTCAGACTTGAAACTCTTAGCCTTACAAATAAACGCGGTATAAAGATAAACTTAGAAATAAACTGAGTATAAGCAAAATTTATACTAATATTTGCTTTATACATCTAAGTTTTTAAAAGGTTCTTATGGTGGATATTCTCTGTCATACCACTTCTATTCCACATACTGTCTCAGTTTTTACAAAGAGTATAAAAGGGACAACATAACGCATCAATAACCTATAACATACCTTGAGCGAGATGTTCGACAATGCGGTAGGCAGCGGTGGCTCTGTCCAGCGCACTGTCCACAGACAGAGAGTCCGCGTCCAGTAGCACTCGCGCCAGCACTCGCAGCGACACCGACTTCACTGTCGTCTTGCACTTGTCCGCGGCCAGCGCGTAGCTGTCAGCGAAGCCAGCCACAATGCACTTGAAGCGGTCCAGTAGCTTGTAACTGAAAGTAAATCCCTTATATACAATAGCTATTTTTATGAAGCTAGAATCACATGACATTACAAAATTTATTGTTTAAATTCTGTTCAATTGCTAATGTCAAAATGGATTATTCCTAACCATCACCCTGCTGTCCCCGAATGAGAATAAAATGTTTCATCCGTCCCACCTTTTTTCCCACTATCACCAATAAGGTGACAGATGGAACCATTATGAAAAAAAAATAAGTTCCAACAGTCCCATTGAAAAGATAAGACAGATGAAACTTTTTATTATCATCTGTCCCCACGTGGGTACAGAGCGGGGTGACGGTTGGGAATAATACTTAAATGACAATAAAAAATCCTTTTTTATTGGCTAACAACTACCTCAACCATGGCATTGCTGTTTTTTGTTGTTAATTTTTGTATCACAATATTTTTCAAATGAATCACCCCTACATTAAATAGCGTGAAAATGTATGGTCTAAAGTGTGTTGTATATATAGTACATTTTATAAAAAAAAAAAATTTGAAAATATAATGTGTCTACTGCCTTTTCCATAACAAAGAAGTGTGTTTAATGTTATAAGTTTTTTCATAAAGAACGAGAGTACAAAGCCAACGAAAGTACAGAGAGAGTAGGGGCAGCTAGGTATATGAAAAACAGCTTGGAATATAAAGGAGCCGCTGGTATATTAAATTCTTACCGTATGAGTGCTTCAAGTAACATAATGGGGCTGAGACGTCTTGGTTCATGGTAAATCAGAATCACTTTGCTTTCACTGTCGCCTTTCTCCTTCTCCAGCCAGTCTAAGAAATCTGTTAGCGCCGATATTTCCGATTTTGTTTTTAATATCTGTAACAATGTTACTTAATTTACTTAACATTTTTAACAACAAAAAAACGATTTAAACCTGATGAGGAAAGAAATATATTTAATTTTTAATATTATAAATATGTAAGTTTAGATAATTGAATATTTATTGGAAGGTATCTCCAGAACAAATAAATAAATTTCAATGAAATTTGCCACAGATGTAGAACATTGCTTAGAAGACCACATAGCCTAGTCTTTACATTTGATTTTTTTATTCTCAGTGGGCGACAATTAGAAGTCTATAAATATGGAAGATATACTAGCAGTATGTCAGTATTTATATTGCAAATAGTGACTAAATAACATGGAATATATCAAACCTTATGAGTAATTGTATCTTTAAGCATCCTGTACCGACCAACAGTGACCACTCGAATGTTATGTCGCCGGCGCGCCCCCGGGTTCAAGTCCCCGTATGGCATTATGTACTGCGTGTACGTCTGCTTGGGCGTGAACGCCGCTATCTGACATATCTGGAAATATTATGGATTTAAATTACATTATTCAACATTTATCCTATAAATGGCAACACACTATTATTTAAGGTAATTGGCTTGATATAGCCAGAGATTAAACGGAGCTAACATAGAGCAACCACAGAGGTTGGTGAAGTGAAGGTATTGATGTTTTATCTAAAGAGTGTAACACATTTACTTTTACTTCCTTTTCCTTCACACACTTCTTATAAGAAAAGGGTGTAGATAAAAAGATAGGTTGACTGTAGGAGACAGGAATTTAAGTCAAGTCAAACCCATAATTGCATCTCCATTATCTTTTAACAATACAAAGAAAAAAACTTTTAACAATACAAAGACAATTGAATCTAGTTTAATATAAAAACGCTAAATAAACCTCAATGGAACCTATATTAATATTATACAGAGGAAAGACTTCTATTTTTGTATGTATAAAAATAAACTAAAGAAACCACTTGACCAATTTTAATTATGTATATTTATATAAACTATACATAAATCAATATCAATAGGAAAAGTATAGGCATTCGAGAATTCATAAAGCCTGGTATCTGACAATGTCTATGATCATTCCCTCTTATAATATTTAACTGTCTACAAAAACTGCAATTTATGTATTAATTTAGATGCTGTTTTTTCTTGATGTACACTCTTTTGTTATAGCAGATATCTAATTCACATTTACATTCGAAATTATGTAGTCATACAAACTTCATCAATAAGTCTCCTTCCTGTAGTATCCATATCCCATCCGACAAGCGAGTACTTTCCCGGTGGCAGGCCGAGGGGTTTCTCTGCAAGCGCAGGGAGTAACTCAGTCGATGGAGCCTCCATGTCACCACCGTTAACCTTTGCCTCTGACACCATTGCCATGTGCCTGGTTCCTGCTAACTGTAATAAAATCACAGTAATTTTAATTCTATGCTATTACAATATTTTTATACAAAATATATTTAATCAACATGTCACACAAATATTAAAAAAATTAACGTAAATACAAATTCAAACAATTAAATCTCTTTGAAGTGAATATACCAACTTTAGTAAGTCTTAAGAAACTTAAAACACTCAGAAACATAGTCACTCATAAAAAAATAATACCTACCTCCTATTTTAAAAACCTCTTATTCAAATCTACCTACTTGTTTTCAAATTATATTTTCAGACATCCCCAGACAGGCAGAATAATAATAGTTGGAAAAATAACAGATATATTAAATTGGAATAAAATGTGAATTTATTTCAATTAATTAAAGTTCTTTTTCTATTTTCAAGTTTTATTATAGATAAATCAATAGGATAAATAACAAAAGAATTAAATAAATAACAACACTTTTGTTTATGTGAATTTCATTTAGGTTATGTACATGTATGATTATTGTTATATCTACATTTAATACATAAGGCGAGGGGTTTTGTTAGGTAAAGTAAATAAAATGCAATAATCAAGCATTATTTACCTGCTTTAAGATGTTTTACAAACTTTTAGAAGTGTTTTTGTGGTATTATTAAGATACCGGCATGTATTTGTATCAAAAATAAAACTTTTTTTATACTAAAGTGGATTGTTTTTAATTTTACATACATGAGTCATACAAGAAAAACATATTAATAGGTATTCTTAAATTATCGATTTCTTAAGATGAAACATTTAAGGACGGTTTATTATACGTGGAACAAAACGATGTATCAGTTAATCATTTAGTTAAAGGGATATTTAGGAAATTAAAGCATATTAATAAAGTTACAGGAAAATAAAAAATAGGACACGTGGCGGTCTTTTTCTAGTCATTTGCCCCACCCCACTATGTCAAAATAAAATTAAGATGAACTCACTAATCAAAAATGCTGCCGTTGATCTGATGTTATTAAATAGTAATCCTCAACAAACAATGCTTTTGGTCGCTCTACAAGTTTTGTAAAGTAGAATAATTGAGTAAAAAATATCACAAAATCTCAGCACGTGTGCGGCAATCGGCAAAACGCAGTAGGGATTGGCTGCTTTGGTGCAGTTTATTTACCGGTAATTTTATCGAAAATTGTACGAAGCAAATCTGAATGAAATGCAATTTATTAATGTAATTAAAATTTCAAGATTTATTAAATAGGAAATAAAATGATATTGTATCGTTTTTTAGTTGCAAAAACTTTACAATTTCATATTTTTTTGACAATTCTAATTTGAACGACTCCATTGAAACATGTCAAAATAAAAATTGTAGATTCAGTGATTTAATTAGAAATTGTTTAGTTTTCTTTTCAAAAGCATTATCATTTTTTTTCAACTAATTTTGTTGTGAGAATCCAATTATGTAAATAGGAAAGTAATACTTACAAATAGTTACTTTCCGCAGTTATAAGGAAAACGCAATATTTGTCAACAACTTTTAATTATTATTTAATTTGATATATCAATCAATACAAGCTGCAACAATCCAAATGACTTTGACAAAAGGAACAAAATTCCTTTTTTGAATTTTAAGATATTAAGAAGACTTCTCTTCTTAATATCTTCTTTTTGAGCTTGGAAAAACGTTTTATTTATTTATTAGTTTTAGAGATTCAAATAACAAAACAGACTAGATGGATAACAAGAAATTGGCAAGCCGCACAAAATTCAATCATGCTATCTGTTTACCCCCTTATGACAAATCCGTGAACATCAACATTATTTTGTTTTTTATTTCCAAGTTAATCTGTTCCGATTTTACAATTTCTCTATGGTATAAGTATGTGTCAATCTATTTTCTGTCAGTTTGTGTCTTTGGTCCTTGTCTTGTTTACAAAAATCAAAACTTGTTTTATAATTCGTATTTGATTTAGTTTAAGTTTCAATTTAGTTTATGTTAAATACTTATTATGGCAGAGAATTTAGAATATTACCGGTCACAAATAGTTGCAGCTAGAACTGAAATAAAAAACTTAAGGTATATCCAACAAAATACATATATTTAAAGTTTATTTAGGTCTTAATTTATTCAACAATATGTTACATGACCATTCCAGGCAACGGCTGATTGCGTTGAAACATGAACATATTACAGAAATGAAGAATATTAAAGAAACTCTAAATGGACTTCGTTGTACTAATTGTGCTGCATCAGGTAACATAAACATTATAATTCCGTATTATCCGTTCATTTTTTAATGTCAATTTGTAATTAAGAGGTACTTCTGATAAAGACAAAACTAAAACAACTGCAACAAGAGAACTCTACAATACAGTAGGCAAGAATAAACTTAATTTGATGTTTTCCAGTATTTTAATCAATAAGTGAACTGAAAATAATTGTTTAAAATAGGAACCATATTAATCAAAATGTACAATATTGCCTATAACCTTATAAAACAATGTTACCATCATCAGCTCACTATACATCCCCTACCAGGGGCTCAACGCCTACCCTTAGGGTGACTAGGCAATAGTCAACCAAACTGGCCCAGAGTGTGTTGGGTAACTTCACACATATCTTTGACTTTCTTCACCAATATGTGCAGGTTGCATCACAATGTTTTCCTTCACAGTAAGAATTCTGGGTAAATTATGTACATATGAAAAATCGAAAATAAGATTGTTACATAGCAGGATAGTCAGATATAAGCCGCAGCAGATACAAGCCAAGTGCTTAAACCACTGAGCCACCAATACATACAATGTATACAATGTAATTCCAGTAAATCTATTTTATTTTCAGCTACAACAATAGTCAATAATCACAGTGAAGGCCAACCATCATCGGAGCAAACCGATACTATTACATTCACTCCTATTGGCTACATTGAGACACCGTTCGAAAATAAACGTGGTGTACCAAGACAGCCTTCAGTGTTGTCTACTGCAAAAGGTGTGATTAACATTGATACAAATGTTTTCACCAATCCGGAGCATGCTATTAGTGGGTTAGAGGAATTTTCTCATATTTGGTAAGGTATATAATTTATTCTTATTAACTTACTTGCTTGTAATCAGTTGTCAGATACTTCATCAGCATGGAAATTAACAATAGATGGCGTTGGTTACGTTCATTGTATTTTTCTTAGAACTACTGTCAATAGATGGCGTTGAGAAATATATGAATTTTTATTAAGTCACGATATTGAGACGATTTCAAAGTGAAAGACCCTTTTGGGTCGACATGTGCAACTCATACTTACCTGGCGTAGGGGCTACCGTGATCAAGTAGGCGGTTCCCCCAGGGCGAGGCCCCTCCATTGCACTGCGGTTGGGTTGACCCCTGCGATTATCCCTAATGCGGATAACTCGGACGCGTAATTTTTGGTAGTGGGGACTGCGTACGCGCCGTCCCCTCCATATAAACAAAATAAAACTCCTGCAACATTCTAATGATATTCGACCGACTTCCTAAAAGAACGTGGTACTCAATTCGTCTGTATGTTTTTTTTTTTATGTGTTTTATGTAATGAAGTATCTTTCAAAATTTTTTTGTCTTGCAATCCTGCATAATTGAATGAATTATTGTGTACAGCTAGTTAATCTGTTGCATTCACTTAATTTTCAGGGTAATATTCCATTTCCACGAGACAGGAAGTACCAGTGTCCCGGCTAAGGTGGCGCCGCCCCGACTGGGCGGAGAGAGACGCGGCGTGCTGTCCACCAGGTCCCCACATCGGCCCTGCCCTATTGGCTTGTCTCTCGTTAAAATATCCAACATTGAAGGTAATTTTACAGAGTTTAGAAGAAACTAACTGTCACCTTCGTCTTCGTCCGTGCAAAAAAAAAAATAAAAAGGACAATTAGTTACTTTTACATCTTGCAAATTCTGATCTGAGCTGTTCTACATCCATCCATCCGTACTTTTATATCTATATTAGTAAGATAGATGTTTAATTGATTCCATAGTATTTCTCACACATAACACTAATATTTTAACAGGTAATAAATTGTTATGGTTAATTCAATAAGATTAAAATAGTATTCAGTAAATCCATGGCACATAATTATTGTAGTAAATATTTTACAAATTACACGAAATTTCATGTGATAGATATTTCATCTGTATCTATACTATCTATATGCTTATACGAATATTATGAAGAGGAAAGATTTTTGTTTTTGTGTGCATTAAAATAATTCAAAAACTACTAGGACGATGTAAAAAATTCGCTCTTAAAAAGGTAATTTATCTCTAAGTAACATAAGCTATAATTTTTTAATTTCACGCGTACGAAGTCACGAGCAACAGCTAGTTATTGATATTATTTGTTGTAATTCTATTTCTGATGTGACCTTACTAGAAACTTTTAAAATCATTCATATCTATTTCCAGGCAATAAGATATACTTTGAAGGTATTGACATGGTGAAGGGGACGCCGGTGCTGGACATCAAGCCGTACATACCGCAGTACGACTGTCCTGGTCACCAGCAGCCCCGCCCCCCCGCCACCGAGGGCGACACTCGCACACTGCCTGTGGACAACTTTCAACGTATGAGGTAACTATCTGTTCGCGTCGTCATCATCATCATCACCAGCTCACTATACGTCCCCACCGAGGGGCTCGGAGCCTACCCTAATACGGGGTGACTAGGCCATAGTCAACCACGTTGGCCCACTGTGGGTTGGTTGACTTCACACATATCTTTGAATTTCTTCGCCGACATGTGCAGGTTGCATTACGATGTTTTCCTTCACCGTTCGCCTGAAATTATAAAAACTTTATTTTATTGTTTACATTTGTCAAATTATCAATAGCAAATGTCAAAATGAAATGACGTGACAAACCTTGGCGATCTTTCTTGATGTTGTCAGCAACTTATGGTCTCTTTCTCACATTACGGGTTTTTTTCCAAAATATTTACCCCCTAAGTTTAATGGCGTGAAAATATATAGCGTAAAGCACAACGTAAGTGTAGGTCTTTTTATTAAAAAAAAGAATTATTTAAAAATATGCTGTGATTGCTGACATTTTAGGCAACAAAGAGGTGTGTGTTTACACTTTATTATAATAGTATAGATATATGTTACTAGCTGTTGCCCACGACTTTGCTTTAAATTAAAATATAGCCTATCTTACTCACAGATAAATTACCTATCTAAAGTTGAAGGAATTTTTAAAATCGACCTAGGATTTTTTGAGTTATTTCAATAAATACGAAAATACAAATCTTCCCGCTTTATAATAGTATAGATTATAGTTCTATATAACTTGAATAGGTAAACTGGCTATTTGTAGAAATGGTGTTATAAGGCTGTGTGGCGTGAAATATTGTTTGGTCGTACTTTACTGTGGGAAAATAACACTAGCAATATAAATTAATACGTATTTGTGGAATGAACATTTTTAGTTTTTCGTTTTTATGAGAAAAGAACAAGAGTTCATCTAAATTCGGCTAAAAATCAAAGTGTCTGTTGTCCAAGCATATGCAGTTGCAGATGTGTTGCCAACCCTGTTAGTGTGTACTTCAAATTTAATTTTATAGGTTGTAAATTAAAGACAGTAGTTATTTTTTTATTACAATATAATTTTAATTTAAAAATGTATAAAACATACCAGATATATTTCATGATTACGTATTTAATTTTAATATTTTAGGATATGCTTGTGATTAAATGTATTTTAATACGTTTAAAATAAAATACTATAATAATACAAAAATTTCACATATAGCTTTGCAAGTTCAAACATTTTAAACATTATTCGTTCTAGAATTTTAGATAATACAAGAAAAACATAGGCATCTGTTATAGTTTGTCTAAATATGATAGATTAGTTTGATAAATGACGCATATGAAGTATCGAATTAAAATTGTATCAAGGTAAATGCCGTACTTAATAGACAGGTATCGTAGTGACGAAACAAAAATGCATTGCGAATAATTATGTTATATCGATATTCGGTTCAAATATTAATCGAACTCAACTAAAATTATAATTTTCTTGTTAACTAATTTAGAGAACAATTCTAGTATTGATTACAGTGTAGAGAATTTGCCGATGATAGAAATAATAGCGAAATCCAATCCGATTACATACGGCTGTAGTAGTAATAAACATTTATTTACTCTCGTTATTTGTTATGGTCATTGTTATTTTAAAAAAGCAGTGTTTTTTTAAATTCATAAGTTATAACTATATATCTATCGATTTCAATTTCTATAAGAATAAAAATCGAAAATCGAGAAGATTCATGATTGATTTTACACAACCCATCCCTACTAAATTTGAAATGAATTGTCAAACTAATCTATCTTATTTGGACAAACTATAAATACTTTAACAATTATAACTCGATTCAGTCTGTTGAGAGTCTGTTCCGCAACAAATATATATTCTTATTTTCTAGCATTACTTCATAAACTTACATTATCACTGCAAATTTTATTTTTCCAGTTTAAATCCACATATAGATGCAAATACTGAACCTTCTCCAAACAATGATGAATTATCACCGGACACCAATATACCAATCATGTCACCATCTCCCGATTCATGTGACATGTTAGATGGAAACTTCCAGGAGTCACCACTAAGAAGACCAGATGAAAGAGGTGCTCCGGACGGTCAAGAAAGATTTACTCCACCACAATATGGAGTCAGAGTTGCCTCTTGGATTTCAAACCCTCCGTCACAGTGTTATGAAGTCAAATTTACTGATGATGCACTAGACAGACTTAATGATTTGATAGGAGACCGAGCTCAGTCTTTTAAACGTAATATAGAATGTCTTTTATCAGAAGACCCCAGGTCAGTCTATGTGAGGAGCAGATACCCGGACCATGAATATAGTTGTGTGTTAGAAGATTTATCAATAAGTTGTATATTTGATTCGTCGTCTACTACATGTACGATAATAGCGGTGAGAAATGCCGATGAATTGCAACAGACTTAATTGTGTGTCTGATTATTTATTGATTTTGTCAAGTGTGATTAAATATTTTTAATTTTTGTATGGTTTTTAATTGAATTCAATTTATAAGAAGACTAGCTTTCGCCCGCGACTTCGATGCGTGAAATTAAAAAAAAACCAAAAGTGTATAGCCTATGTGTTCTTCCAGACTATCATCTACATCTGTACAAAATTTCATCAAAATCTGTTCAACCGTTTAGGCTACAAACTCTAACAAACATCCATCTAAACTTTCGCATTTATAATATTAGTATGAAGTATGATTAAAATAGGAAAATTAATACCTGTGAAATATTGTCTTGTGTAGTATTACTGTTTTTTTTTATTTATTTAATTTACTGTATATTTTCATTCTATATTTTTTTATAGAATCTTATTTGTTTTCCAGATCCAAAACCTCCGACACTGTCTAGTATTATTAGTTCAAAATGTCTCAGTTTAACTCCTTGCAGATCTATAGTTTTAATAGCCGCATTATGTTCCAATGCTAAGGGCTTTGTAAAGG